CAGCAATTGTAATACCAAAGAGTATATAAAAGAAAACGGTTTCGCCCTTACTGGCATTTTCAGCTTGAGCTGCTTCTGAGTAAACAAAAAACTGCTCAAAAAAGTTTGTAACATCAATACAAACTCTGTAAATGTCGCCAGCGAGCATTGAAATTCTTCTTCTAAAATTTATTACTAGTCAAAATTGTCTTCTTCTCTATGAGTGAAAGCGCGCGTTGATTGAAGCTCGCATAGGAAAGACGAAAGGAAGCATGAAATTTATGGTTTGTTTCGAAAGATAAATTTTCAAGTTTTTTTTATTATCGCGCAACTAAAACGATATACATCTTAAACTATTTTTCATTGTATATATGGTAAGTATGCACTTCGCTGAAAATAAGATCATCAAAAACTGGGTAGGCGTAAGTGTGTGGGTGAGTGGGGATGGCTAGATACGGGTGAGCGTGAGAGTGATTGTGGATGGCTATCTTCTGTTAAGTTATACTTACATCCACTCCCTCAAGATGGATTGAGTTGTATTTCTGTGGACAGATAACACGATTGTTTATATTCAAACTCTTTAATTTAACTTAATATACTCACCTTCACTATCACCCTCACCATGCTGAAGCATTGATTATACATATATTGCAGATTCAAAATTAGTCAAAAAGCGATTGTTTCAATGCAATATGTACAAAGTAATTAAAAGAGAGAAAAACAATTTCGTCGCAGGATAATAAATTGTCTAACAATCCGCCAATAAAGACAAGATAAGAATTGTTCTCTCTCAATTCTGTTGAATAACAGCAAGATCAAATTTCGCCGACTATCGTATCAATTTTATATAAAAGGTAACTAGCAATTGATAAACACATGTAGTCGTAAATATATGAAGTAGTTTGCAACTCCGCATAAGCTCTAGCCAAATATCGATAATAATACCGTATTGCTTTTTCTAAATTTTCAGAAAATACATTCGTTTATTAACAGTTACGCTAAGCAATATGGGTACATGTGCTTCAATAGAACAAGAAATTGTCTGCAATAGTCTACTTGTCTCTCATCTGAGCCCGCCACGTCACGTAAGATGAACTTCTATGCTGAAATATTTTCTTTTCTTTCTTATGCAGACACTAACTGATTACCCGAATTATCATAATGTTAAATTGAAACAACGCATTATGTCGGACGGTTCTCGACGTTGTGTAGATGTGAATGACATGAAATTAACAGATCAGGATATGCAGATTGTAGTTCAATGGGGAATGATACATAAAAAATGTAAAATGCTTGCGGTAGGAATAAACAATATAACATCACAGGGTGTGTGGGTCATCGCCAATGCATTATGTATTAATACAACATTGACATTTCTTATTCTACATTGTAATCATATATGTGACACGGGCACTCAATATTTGGCACAAGCCCTCACACTCCACAACTCGACTCTCACAGATCTTTCCCTTCATGTAAATGATATTACCGACGTCGGTGCTGGGCTTATAGCTGAAGCGATCAGAGTAAATCGAACTCTAATTAATGTGGATTTATCAAGAAATCGGATTGGTGATCAAGGAGCAATACAGTTGGTTAGTGCAATTATTCAATATGGTGATAAATTTGAACGGTTAATGCTGCATACAAATCAACTGATCACTGATGTGAGTGTTGCGACTATTGTTCGCATGCTTGAAATGAAACGACCTTCGAAGCAGTTTTGGGTGAATAAATGTAGCATTTCGGACGTGGGACGTGCAAAAATTTGGCAAGCGGGAGGAACAAGGAAGAACTTCCACCACAATGAGTAAGAGATTCAATGAAAAAAGAAAACTTATTCGACAATTAAAACTGTTTCATCATATTTCGATACAATACGATATGAACTATTATTTATCCACTGAATATTCAAAGCTTATAAACAAATAAATACTTCAAGAGATTATTCGACAGTTGATTGTTTGATATTATAGGCATCAAGAAAGTTTGAGAAGGCGCAGCTTGGAAAAAGAGTAGTTTACTATAAATGAGGGTGAGGGTATAAATGAGGAGTCAAATTTGACGAAAATCAGAACTTTTGTATCATCTTGAGAGTGTGGGTGTGAGTGTAGATTTTCAGAGAGAAAAGATCCACAACCACACTCTTTGATAATCGATGAAAGAGAATATTTATTTACTTAATAATACAATAGAAATGAATTTCTTCTGTCATAAAAAGAAAGGAAAATTATTGTAGGTGTTTAATTTGTATCATTCGTCTTAATTCATGTATGAGGGTGGGTGAGTGTAGGTGTGTTCGACTGCAGATATTCACGCACCCACACCTTCTTCATTAAATAAAAAAGTCAAAAGTTAAAGTTTATTCTTGTTTATAATATAACTTGTTTGCGATCACTTTAAGAAAAAAACGCATGATAATACTATTCGTGCGAAAACGTCTAACTACAGGAAAAGTGGAATAAAATATGCTCGAATACAACTGAGATACACAAAGTCTAATAAGTATTTTTAAATAAGTCTTGTACACATATAGTTAATCACGTATTATTTGTATATATAAAATATGTTTATTCAAAATTTTCATCTTTCCATCGTGGCTCGAAGTCTGCTGGTAAAGCTTCGACATTTAATGGATATAACTTATCATCATATTCTTCGTTGTCGATCATAGAAATTTTATGACGATCCACGATTGCATGACGAACAACCATCCAAGCACGTCTTTGATCAGGCGGTGGAATCCTTTCATTGCATGCATTACCTTCTGTTGATTGTTTTTTTAAGTTATTATACCATGATGGATATCTTTCATTATAATATTTAGCTTTTGGAAATATAATTTCATCCTCATCTTCAGTCTCATCGCTCTTTTCATTCTGCAAGTTATTCGGTTGATGCTGTTTTCCTGCATGAACACCTATTGTTGTCCAACGCTGATAACACAATTCAAGACACGGTGTATGTGTTTTGTGATATCGCGTTCCACGAAATGCAGTTGCCAAGTGGTATGTACTCTCATGAGTTTCAACAAAACTTGGTTCAGGATGTTTGCACGTACAATCACTTGGTAGACAAATTTTACAAGGATCTTGCCAAACTTCAACCTCTTCTTTCTGATGAGGTTCTGTTTTACTACATTTAGCACCACATCCTGGACATCGAGCTTGGCAACCAAGTCGTAATGCAATACTCTGTTTACAACTGTTAAATGCTTCAGTTTTGATATTTTTTGTTAAATCGTTTATTGTTTTTTCGATATCTTTGTAATACGTACAAATATTTTCAAAACCTTGGTTAAATAGCTTTTTGTCTGTAATTGTCATGCGAATAACATTATTAAACGCAAACATCGAGTATAATTCTCTTTCCAATGATTCTGTCGATTTCAATTCAGGTATATCAAGAATTGCTTTTCGTATCCCATTTCTTAATTCAAGAGTGTCTTCATATGTATGTTCTTCAACAAATTTATTTGCTGTATCAATTGCTTTAATAATTAAATGTTGAAAATTTAATGTATGATGATGTGTTACAGCATGTAAAGTTGTTTTTACTTCTTTTAAACTCAACTCAATGAAATATCGATTGATATCATAAATATATTTAAGAATATTCTCACCATTTGCTTGACTTATACTTTGTTCATAGGCTTGTTTTTGTATAGCTTCATGATTAATAAATTGACTTTTAACGATATCTTCTCTTATATCTTTATCAATTCTACGTTGTAAAAGACGACAAATATCTTCGATGATCTGTTTTCCAATTGTTTCAGCAAGTGTTTTTCCTAATTCAATGGAATTTTTCATCGCCATGTATTGTTTATATAAATTATCTTGACATTCTTTTATTTCATTTGTTGTGTTTTGTATATTTAATTCATAATCTAATTTTTCTTTTGCTATTGTTTCGGTAATTATAGTATTAAGACCAATTACCGCCAAATCTGAGCAGAGTATGTGTTTCTCTACACAAATTTGTTTTATTATACATGGAGAATTCATTGCATTTTCGATGTATTGAAAAAGATACTGAATAGTCGTTGGATTTGATGACAAAGATTGTGTAGCCTTGATTGATGTTAAAAGATTATCTTGAAATTCTGGTATAACATTATTCCATATCTGTGCAAAAGTCCCCTTATACTTGTTTACTTTTTTATTAGTTGTAAACCATGTTGGCTCATCTTTTAACTTTTCCCATACAAAATCGATATACTTATGTGATGGTCCTGGGACAAACGATCTGATAGTTCTAAAAAAACTACCGGATTAGGATCGAATCCGTTGTGGTGTTTGTTTTATAGGCCAAAGCAAACGAGTTTCAAATTTTTTGATACGTTTTTTAAATTCTGCTTCATCCTGTATAGAGAATAATAATTTGTAAAAACTTTCATGGGTTGTTTCTCGTTGTTTACACAACAGTTGATCATTGTAAAACTTTAAAATGTTCTGTATAATTTCACTCTCTGTTTTTGACGATGATTGAAGATTCTTACGATGTTATTCTATCGTAGATTCAAATTTTCTTTCAAGACGATCTTCGAGATCCTTTAATTCAAGGCTTTTATGTTGATCGAATTCTGTTTGCACTGAGTTTAATAATTGTAGTCGAGATAATGAACCTGCATATGTTGTTGATGATGGAAATATTCCAAGAAGTTTACTTATGCGTAAATTTATTATAGAACAAAACTATCCTATTGAATGGTATATATAGACATGTGCTGATCAACATCCAGTATATTTATGTGATTATGCTGAAACAGAAGATGGTCAAGATTTAAATGATGGACAACGACGAACATTAGTTCGTGGTGGTCCATATTATATTTTCACTGTCGATAGACATTGGACAACAAATGGAAAAATATCAGATAAAGAACTTAAAAATGAAATAAACAAACTATCAAAATATGGTGTGTTTATTGATAATCTTTGAAATTTGATATATAGTTTCTTCCTTTTTGTAATTTGAGTTTAAATAAAATCTTATCAATTAATTCATTCTTTCATTCTTTGATTTACTATCATATATTTTTTTATTATTAATACAAGCCATAACATTCATTAAGTGTAAAACAAAAATGTTAGTGAAGTCTTGTTTCATCATCTTATTCTTATTTTTTACATTTGCCTATGGAAAACCAATAAAAGGTAAAACAGGAAAATCACACGCGAAAGCTCCAAAAATTCAATCAAATACGGATGCATTGAAATTTTTAAATAAATTTGGTTATAATCAATGTAGTGGTAGTGTAGATGCAAAGATGAAAGGTGAAAAACCATTATGTCAATCAAGTTTGCAAACAATGATTGAACATTTTCAAACTTTTTACCATTTACCTGTAACTGGTCGACTTGATGAAAAAACTGTTGCTCTTATGAATAAAGCTCGATGTGGTTTGGGTGATTATCCTTTGGCTTGCTCCGCTTTTCGTCCTTGGTAATAATAAATATCAATTGAAATGACTAAATATTCTCTTGTTTTCTAGGCCTAATTCAACATTAAAATGGACATTAAATAATGAAGCACCTAAACTTGGAAAAGATAAAACACGATCACTTATAAAAGAAGCATTTGGTGATTGGGCACGTTATGCTCCATTAAAATTTCGTGAAGCAGAAGCAGGTGAAAAAACTGACTTCAGTATTAGCTTTCAAACAGGTGAACATGATGATGGTTATCCATTCGATGGTTCAGGTGGTACTCTTGCTCATGCTTTCTTTCCAACAGATGGTAAAGTACATTTTGATGCAACAGAAGACTGGACAGATAAGTAAGTACAAATAAATAAGAAAAAAAGAAATCTACTATTTTAAAAATAATAATAGATATGTTGATGGTGCTGGTTATAATTTTCGTTTGGTTGCTTCACATCAAATTGGTCATGCACTTGGTTTACCACATTCACGTGATCCAAAATCATTGATGTTTCCATTTTATCAATTAATCCAACCGCAAGACCTACTTCCAAAAGATGTATTTAAAAAAAATCATAATTATATTTTTCATGGTTACTATGTAATATTGATTTTAGGATCGTGCTTTTATTCGTGCATTATATGCAACCAGTGCAACAAATAAGCCGACAACCTTTCGTGCTACTAAAGTTAAAACAACAGCAGCAACGAAGAAAACAACTACACAAACACAAACATTATCGGATGATCGATGTGCTCGTTTTTTTGATGTTGTGTTCGGTGGTTCAGACAATTGGTTATATACACTTGATTATGATATTGTCTGGCGTAATTATCAAGGTCAGTGGGACCCACAAGGACTTCCAATTACTGACGTATTTCCTGGTGCTGAACCACATATGATGGCTGGAATTGTATCTCCAGTAACAAAAAAAATTTATCTCTTTAAAGATCGACGTGTATGGCGATTTTCTCCTCCAAATACACTTGATAGTGGCTTTCCTAAACATTTATTTGGTACTGGTACTCCGTAAGTATTTTTTGATAATCTCTAATGAAATGTATATGACTTATTTAAAATAGATTTAATCCCGTAGGTGCTCTTTATGAAGAAAAACATATTTGGCTTTTGAAAGGTGGTCTACTTTTTAAATTTCATGAAGATGATATTCGACATGAAGATGATAAACCACCAAAACGTCTCAATGAACAATTTCCTGGTGTACCAGCTGATGTTCGAACAGCCTTTACTTACGAAGGAAAACATTACTTTTTTACTGAACCTGATCGAAAAGTATATATTTTTGATATAAAAACTAGACGTTTGGAACCTGGTTATCCAAAGCCGATGACAACAGGATGGTTTGCATGCAAAGGCAATTAAATTAGATGTCACCAGTTGTCAATTTATTCCTAATTTTTCTTATTTCTAATTATTTAAGCTTCATTTTATTTAGTTTGAGAATACGTTTATGATAAAATAAATATATTATAAATCTATTTTGTTCGTTTCTTTTTGAGTTTTGTCTGTCTGGGTTTCATTTTGTTGAAAAATTTATTTGAGATTTTCAATTTCTTTAATTAACAAAACGAAACTATTAAAAATATTATTTTTAGTTAAAATTATATCTTTTACTTTTCTTCATAAACTGATGATCATTAGGTCCTAACAATACA